GAAGAGAACTGGGCCCAAGACATTACCTTGTGGAACACCAGCCTCAACTGGATAATAATTGGAGAATTCAGTGCCGCACCGGACTTGAAAGGAACGATTTGAGAGGTAAGATTTGAGGACTAGGTACAAAGATTGGGGTAAGTGAGTTTTGAGCTTGAAAAGCAAGCCACCCCCGTTCGAAAGCTTCCGCTACGTCCAGAAAGGCACTGATGCAATATTGCTTGTTTTCAAGCGCAGAGGATATATGGTCAACAACGCGAAGGCCTTGTTGAACAGTGAAATATCTTGAGCGGAATCCAAACTGATGGGATGGGATATTGTAGGTTTCGAGTATGGATAGGATGCGTTTGAGAAGGATTTTTTCAAAGATTTTGGAGAGGATTGGGAGCAAGCTTATTGGTCTATAGGATGAGGTATTATTGACAGGTTTACCTGGTTTAGGGAAGAGGATGATTATGGAGTGTTTCCATATCAGAGGAAAGTGAGTTGTGCGAAGGATACAGTTGTATAGGTATGTGAGTAATATAATTGCTTTTTGGGAAGTTGTCTAAGGATTTGGGAAGTAAGGAGATCGTGTCCAGGGGATTTTCGAGGTTTTAGGTTGCTTATAAGGAATTTGACCTCAGAGGGATTGACAGCCATAGGAGGCAAGGAGAGAGAAATAGGAGAAGAGGGGAATTCTTTAACTTCAGCAGTGAGGATGGAATGGAGTTAGAGGTGGGGAGTGAATGATTTGGATAGGTGTTTGGCAAATTCTTCAGCTCTAGTCTCATCTGACGAAGCCCAGGTTCCATCATCGCATCGGAGTGGAGGTGGGAAACAGAGTGGTATTTAAGGATTTTTCTGGTCAATTTACAGAGAGAATTGTCATCGGTAGATCGTGAAGAGAGGTAGGAATTGTATGATTGGGATCTAAAGAAAGAACTAGCTTTCTTTACCTGTTTGGAATAATAATTGTTTATTTTTCGTTCATCAGGATGCATGGTTCTTTGCCAGAGGATCCTAGATTGGCATTTGGATTTAATTAGATCAGCAAGGTCTTGGGGCAAAGCATTCTTTTTACAGTATGTTTTGGAGGGGAGCGGTAAGGTTGCAGTCCAAACTGCTTGTTGGATCAAGGTGGTGTAGGATCTCACTGCATAATCTAGGTCTTGAGGGGTTTTTAGGAATACTCTGAGGTCTATTGCATCTACTATTGTTTGGCGGAAAAGTCCCAGTTGACTGGGCCTCTGATGAATGAGGGAGAAGATAATTTGGGGAAAGGAGATGCGGAAAGGTTTAGGTTTAGCAGACTGTAGTCTGAGAAAAGGTCATCAAGCCGTAAAACTGATAATTTAACGGCCCTAGACCTTTGTGAATGAAGAAGTCAAGGAGGTCAGGGTTACGGTTAGGATCGGCTGGCCAGTATGTAGGACTATCAAGGGAAAGAAAGTTGCTATTGTGGGAATTAAGTGCAGACAGCAATGTTCGCCCGCGGGAGTTCGTGGTTCTGGCTCTCCATTGCTGATGTTTGGAATTAAGGTCTGCACCTATAAGGAAATGGTGCCCTAAGGAATTAAAAAAGGATATGAAGTAAGGTTCGGCTATTGCTGTTTTAGGTGGGGAGTATGCTGCGACAACTGTGACAGGAAAAAGTGAAGTTTGGATTGTTATTGCTGAGGTTTGTAGGAAATTATGTACTGGTAAAGGATAAAAGTGATGGGAGAGGGATTGATGTATGATGGCAGCACTACCTCCATGTGCTGTTCCATCAGGGTGGTCAGTTCGATAAATCTTGTAGCCAGGTATGTTGAACTGTCGTTTATTAGTTAGTCGAGTTTCAGTTATTAGAGCTATGTCAATGTTATAGTCCTGTAGAAAAAAAAGTTAGTTCGTTAATGTGGTTTTGAACACCATTCGCATTCCAGAGGAGAATGGAGAGGGGTTTTATTGAGGGCATTTAAGGAATTCTTGGCGGTGGAATAAGGTTAAATATGACACTTGTAAGTAAGGAGATAAGTGGTGTGATAAGAGATCTGAATTCGGAGAGGAATGATGAAAGGAGGATCGTAAAATCATTGGAATAGTTAGGGGTAGGGATGTACATTTGGTGGTGACTGGACTTTTCGGTGTTATTAAGTTGGGGTGGCGGATTATGAGGTTGTGGTTGAGTTTGTGGCAGGGTCTGAGGTTGAGTAGGCTATTCTATATCTCCCAGTATTTGAGCATAGGAGACTTGATTGTTCGTAAATTTTGTCTGTTGCCTTGGTGTTCTGGAAGTCCTGGAAGTCTCTTCCTGTCTAGGAGCTGGTTGAAGTCTTGCTTTTAATATTTTGTAGGTCTGGCATCCTTTGTAGTTTGCTGGGTGGTCTTTATGGCATAATGCGCACACCGCAGGTGTTTGCCTGGACTTACTGCATTCTTTCGACTTGTGTTGCCCGCACTTCACGCAGCGTGGTAAGCGGTGGCAATAACTTTTTGTGTGGCCATAAGATTGGCAATTATGGCATTGAACTATTTCCCTCTTACTATATGGTTTTTCAACAACTATACTAGTATAGTACAGGCGTCTTAATTTCCAAATATTTTCGACCCCAGTGGTGCGCTCTAGGTCTACAAAAAATAATGGTAGTGCTATTTTATTATTTTTGCCCGGCTGCTCTTTATTTTCTTTAAATATATTAACAATTTGGCGGACACTGAATCCTAGATCCGATCATTTTTCTTTGATTGCATCAGGTGAAGTTGAAGGGTTTATGCAGGCCTCTTATGACTACTCTTAGTGCTCTCTCTTGGAATAACTGATAAGTGTGAAATTCCGCCTTTTTATCAATTAAATATTTGACTATCGTTTTATAAGTTTCAAGGGAATCTGGCATCAACTTGGTGTCATTGATTCGAGTTTGACATATGTATTTATAATGAATATTGGAGGTGGTTTTTGCTCATTGGGGGTTGGTGGTATTTCCATTGTTTCTTCTAATGACAGTAATTGATATGGGTTTGGAGTAAAAAAATGGAGATTCATCTGTTTCGGTGTTTATATTTTGTGTAGTCATAGTTTTCGTTGAAGAAATACCGGGTTCAGGGTCATTCATGTTAGCACTTGGGTTATCAGGTGTTGAAGGTGGCGTTTTTCTCTTAGAACGTCTAGGCTTCTGTTTTACCGGTGAACTTCGAGAACTGTTATTACCTAAACTCCTAGATCTTTTATTTTTTCTAGACATTATCATATGATAATATCTCATTTCATGACGGTAGGGTGGTAAATGAAAGAGATGAGAAAGAAGAAAAAAAATAGAAGTTTTTAGTACGTAAGTAATTACGAAGACTTGTAGAGTCTTTCTAAGTACACGTGTTCCCCCTTAAAAGGCGCTGAGGCAACTAAAGGGAGTGGGGGCAATGATAGCTAACTATGGTCTCTACCTATAAAACTATCATTGTTTACACTGTAGTCTTAATTTTAATAAACATGTTGTTACTCACTTTGTTTATGTCGAGTTTCTTTGTCAGAATTTGCAGTCAAAATTTATTTTAAAAAACAAATTTAATTTAAAAAATTAAATAATTTTACTACAAATCCTGATAATTTATTTTCAGCTTATAATCTTAATAGTCAACTACTTATCTGTCTCTAAAATAATATTATAACGAGTATTTATTTTTTATTTTTAATAACATGTTACAGAGAATTCGTTTGTTCTTACTAGTATTTCCCATAGTAACATAATTATTAATAGAATCCTATAGAATGTCAGATATAAAATGCGCAGTTGCATCTCGCAACAATAATCTAATTGACGCAAAGAAGATGGGAAAGAAAATTTCATTTCATACTTTTTCAAAAACCGCTCGAAGAAAAGATTAGATTTTAAAATGCAAATGTAAAACTATTGTAAAAAAAACAAATATTGTAAAAAAATTGACTAATCTTTTTCTTAGGAGATAAAATGTAAAAATTATGAAGAACTGGTAAAGGCTTTCTTTCAGCAACGGGTATTTTTAGAATACAATTTTTAAGTACCCAAAGATTTGTACAACAATTAAGAAAACATAAAATCAAATCCAAAAATCTTGAGAAAAATCACTACATAGGATTACTTATGACATAAAAATGTAATATTTATAAAAAATCACGGAAAGAAAACGCTTCTTTAATTTTAGATTAAATACTTTTTCTTTCTTTTTTTATATTATTATTTTATATTATGCTTATTTTATATTACTTTATTATTATTTTATATTATGCTCTGTATTTATTTGAAATATTATTGTGGTGCTTTGCTAAAAACCATACATCAACTTGTTAAATTACATTTTATTTGTTTTAAAACAAACCAAATATCAAATGAACCTTTCTCTTACCTTTCAAATTTATTAAAATTAATAAATTAATAAGTGATTTGGAAATACAGTATTGATTTAATGTAGAAAAGTAAATAATAATCTTAAAATGTCCAGAAACAAACGCCGGAGAGGTAAAATCAGTCTATTGGCTACGTCAGAGCTCGATTCCTCCCTACCATTTTCCTTCTGAGTGAGCGAACCTGGTAGTTTTATTGACCTTGGGATAAACTATGAAAGATCTAGAATCCATATCTAATATCTCTCATTTACATAGGGTCTATAAACTGTTATAAATGTTGTATCTAAGTTATCCTTAAAATAGCTTGTATACCGAATGTTCAGTTTTTGGCCTGCCTAATTGACCTGGCCAAGACCCTTGAAATATAGTGTGGTATAAAGCGTTTAATATATTTTTTAAATACAGAAAATCTCTTTCTTAGGAAAGATAATTCAGATTCCCCCCCCTGCTCTCTTACCAACACTATAATATTTTCAGAAATAACTTTGCAATAAAGCATGAATAAGTGTGATCTTTTTCTTTTTCGGAAAAAAACTTTCATAAATATTTACAGCTATAACTTTGTCTTAAAAATAATAATAATAATAATAACAATAATAATGAGCAGATGTGGTGCATAGTCATTTGTCAGTATCCATTTTGGTAGGGCATTTGTTTCTGTTTGGTTGGTAACTCAACGTCTGAATTTGCACACTTTTATGTATGTCTTATTGTTCTTACCATTATTTGTTGTTGAAGATATATTTTTCTGTAGGAATATCACGAATTACGTAATTAAATGTCAGAGCTACAGTCTGCTCTTTTATTGAGAAAACAGCTTGCAGGTAGATGGCATTTTACTCTTTTTAAGTAGTGACATGAAGTTAATTTTAAAGTTTGAGTTCATAATTCATTAATTTCTTGTATTGACGACAAATTTAATCATATCATTAAAGGTATTGATTTTTTTTAGCATTTAGAGTAGTGTATCAGGTTTATTTCTTATCTAAAAATCATGAGGTACCAGAGAGGTTATAACTTTGGTTAATTTTTTTTTAAACTTTATTATTGATGTTTGTATACTATTAAACATTATCCATCACTCATATTTCTGTTATTGAGAATATTATGAAGGTGGTATGGTTACTTTTGTAGACTTGTCACTTAAAACAATTTTTACAAATTGTCATTATTAACTAGTTACAAATTGTTCTGCTTGATAATTATACTTAATCTATATTTATTAATAACAGCAATTTAGTATTTTTCTGTATTTTCACTATGACATTTACATATTGTTTATTTATGAATTACTGAATAGTCTTAACATTGATCATAGTGTTGCTTTTATTCATTGTACTCTTTTAATTTGTAAACAATTTACTCTTTGAGACCCGTTTATTTATTTTAAGCGTATAACAGCTATGATTTCAAACTTTTGTTTTTCTACTTATGAGTTTATATTTTATCACATGATTTTCAGAATATGTTTAGGTAGTCATATTGAGGTTATCTGTTATTTTTTGAATGATGTGAAATAATTTTCACATTTAACACCTTGTTTAACTCTTAATAAATAAACTAAAGTGGTTGCTGGAAAGGCTGTGGAAGTATTATTTTATTTCTATCAGTTTAATTGGTTTATATGTTCACTTACTTACCTATCGTATTTTGATGCAGTGTGTTTAAATTTTTAATACCCGAGCTAATTGTAAGAGATGTTTTGAATGATGTATGGTTTTTTTATTAATAAGAACAGATAATGCAAAGATTTATCTAACTTTGATAGGATAGTGGTTTTTCATTACATCTTACAATATATTGAAGGTATCGTATCTGTCATGTTATAGAGTTGGGCCGTAAATTAATATTAACATGGTATTCTCTCTCTAAAGGATTTTTTAATGTTTTAATTTAGAAATTATGTATTTGAATGTGCTTTCTTATAAACTTACACTTGAAAAATCTTCCGACTAGCTAAGATTTTCTTACTCTGTCTAGAGTATAAGATATTGAGATAGTAAGTCACTTTTGTGTGTTGTATCGCTGCTTTCGACTCCCGTTTGCACTAAAGGCATAAACAAACTTGCAACAGATCCTTTTAAGTTGGGATTGGATCCTTACCAGGAGGTTCAGTCACTTCTGTCTAGCTGAACCATTCTCATTTTTCCATTTATGGTGTGATCATAAGATCTTATGCCACCCATGAAGGTGGAGAGACATTTTTACAGTAGTATTACTGTTGATTATTCTCTTATTATTTTGTTTTGGTATTGTAATATAATTAATCTCAAATATGAAAAGTAATGTTTAATTAATTAAAACTTTAATTTATCTATTATAAGTCCGGTGTATCTATGAGATTGACTTGGAAAAACATATTCAATTAGTAGTTTTAAATGACACAGTGTAAAGATTGAACATCATAATTAATAAATTTAATAAGTATTACAAAAATTAATTGACAAAAACTTTAAAAATTTTAGAAAACCAAACAACAAAAATGACTGTAATTCAGTGCTGTTTAACTTGGAGCCATGTCGCAGACTGAGGCCTAGTATTTTACAATGCCCAAAACCATTTCTTTATTTATTATTAAACCAGAAAACAGAAATAAAACGTGCAGTGAACATTTACATATCACTTAATCCAATGTGTCATTATTCTAAAGTGTGAATGAATGTTGGTCTTATCACATTTAACTGCCATACTTTGGCCCCTTAAGTAATTTTTTAATTATGAGGACCCCATTTGTAAGGGCGGGATGTACCCCAGGAGGATCTCTCGATCCCATGGTTTATCCATGGCTGGTTTAACAGATTAAATAATACTACCACTGCTTGGCTTGAATCCAGGACTATGAGCAGAGGAGCATAGTGCCTAAATTTAATTTATTATTAAGGTGGAGGAGGCGCTATAACCTGAAAATATATAAGCTATTTGGGGCAGTGAACATCATTTGTTTTATAAAGTGTAGTTGACTGAAATGGACAGGCCACACAGCAAGGATGAATCAAGAAGAAATCTCCAAGAAACTACTGTTAACTAAACTGGATTGGTCGAGAGAAGACCAAGATAAGAAGACACAGTCATGAAGGATGCTCAAATCCTTTTACGAAACAGGAGAGTGGCTGCACAAGACCGAGTCTTCGGGGGAAGGCTCATAGCACATTGAGGAGGCCGAGTCCCACATCGGGCTGTAGTACCATTGAAAAGACTTACTACAACGTTTGGCATTTGTTCATTGAAACTTGAATTCTTCCTAGGATGTGAACATAATTTTTATATTTTCGACATACAATAGTCTTTCCGATTGTTAAGAACAATTTATAATACTACCTCTAGGAATTAAATGATAGTGAATAAATTGAAACCCTATCATAATAAAATTTATATTTTAACATTACTTCTTCATCTTTGCTCCATAATTAATGAACAGTATAATAAATTTATGTGTAATTGAATATTTTTAACTAACTTGAAAAAAAAAGTAGTTCTTCCATTTTTTCTCGGTGAATCACTTTATGTGCATTTTAGGCAAAAGTATCTTGTTAGGACACATTTGTCATTTGACATGGACATAATTGTCAATACTTAGTATTTTTGGAATTCCAAAAGTTGAGTATTTTTGGAATTCCAAAAGTTGTTCGAAGTGATCTTAAACTTACCCGTTATCTTGGAGTACTGATCCAGAACTAGTACCATAGGTTTTTTTTTAATGTCCGGCTTCATACCAAACGTGAATAGCTTAAGCAATTTTCAACAGTAAAGTTATATCTTATATAATTTATAAAACTCTTCATTTTTAATTTTAATCCCCAACTGGTTTGGCTGCTATAGTATTGAATTGGTTGAAATATAAGTTATATATAGTTGCAGTGTTTTTTCTGAAACCTACACATAGTGGACCCCCTACTGTGCAACTCTCCTCCCCCCACATATCATAAAAAAACAGGAAATTTTAATATTGAATGCATTATTCTCTTTGCACAAAGAAAGATGGAAAGGGCGAAGCTATAAGTTCTTTTAGGTAACCGGAACTGATTGTTAATATCTGGTCTTAAAACGAGAGAAAATGCAAAATTGAACCCAAAAATTGGAAAAATACATTAAGCGAATGAGGAAGGAAGTGCCAAATCTCAGAAAATAAAACAAGGAACAGTATTCATTATATGGCTAAACGAATATATAGTAGACAGATGAACAGAATATTTCAAGATGCTGCTAAAACGGTATAAGATGCTTCAAATGCTGTAGCAGTTGGATGATATTAAGGGGACAATACAGATTTAGATAGTTAAAAAGACCAACAATGACGAAATTAAGCCAAACGCTGATTATCAGTGACCAAAAAACTAGCTGAAGTCAAAGTCATCAGTCAGCCATCTTTGTATGGGATTTTGGGGCAGTGCATTCACTTTTTTTTTGTGGGAACATTGGCGTTTTTTAATAAATAGTTATACAGAACACAACGATATACAATTTATAGGGATGTAGGGAGGGGGTTCTGGCCCACAGACTATTACAATTAGTTTCTTTTACCTAGAAGAACATTTAGCTTTGATCTTTCCATCATTCTTTGTGCAGAGAAGACAAAGCATCCATATTAAAATTTCCTATATTTTTATATGGTCAACCTCCGAAAAAAATAAAGGAAATAAAAATATTAAATTAATTTTTTGTTAATGATATATGAGTTTTATTAAACAACCCGGCAACAATTCATTATATATAATTCAGATTAATTATATTTTAGCTTATAAAACTGCTATTAATATGACTCATTTCCGGGAAAGTATATACAATTTAACTTGCCTCTAAGAATCATTAAATATGCAAAACTAAGTGTTAAATTGCAAACGTTAAATAAAAACTTCAAGCTATTCAGTGAATTATTTTTCAATTAAGTTTTATTATTATAATTATATCATTTTTATAATAGACGCATTCTTGAACGACCTCCGTTTGGAATAAAGGAAGTAATATTAAAAAAAAACTTTGTTTAATTTTTTTGGACAATTAAATGATTGCATTACTATTTGTTTGTTAATACAATCAATATTATGTACCAAAAACTTTATTATAGCACTATAATTATGCCATTTATGAGTACTGAATGATGTGGCAGAGGCCTATAGGCACCTACGCCAGTACCACTTTTCCTCCGATTAAGTGAATTTTCTACAAAACCACTTCAAATATTTATAAAGTTATCAGTGTTTTAGAAAGAGAGATATATTCTCCAGATGTTTTACTTCAGGATGTTTTTAGTTATTGTTGGCCGTTTAATCAAATTTTCAACTTGATTATTTTTTTTTATTAATTGATTTTACTAGTGTTTCTCATATCCTGAACCAATTATTTTTTAGTATTGTTTCATGTTTTATTATTCTCTGACTATTCAGCTTTAGTAACAGGTCAGTTATGACGAAATTAAACCAAATGCTAATTCTCAGTGACCAAAAAACTAACTCAAGTCAAATTCGTCAGTCTGCCATCTTTGTACGCCATTTTGGAGCAATGCGTTCACTTTTTTTTGTGGAAACATGTTTTTTTTTTTTTTTTAATAAATAGTTACAAGGAACACAACGAAATGCAATTTATAGGGATATTGTGAGGGGGGGGGGGGGAGGGAAGAGGGCACAGGGTAGGGGGTCTAGCCCACAGACAATTATTCCTGTAAAATGAGGAGTTACAGTTACCCTATATTTGGATTCATTCTAGGAAACTTTGGATTTGACTGACCTTGAGTTTCTAATTCATTTCATATTTTATTTTTGTTTCTACTTTCATGATAGTAAAAAATAATAATAAGTGACTGTTCATTTGCTTATTATCATCTCAC